CTAGTGGTTATGTCAGTTAGGTAGATGTTTAGGACTACATGTGTTGTTATATGAATATATGCATGCTCAGTAGTTATGTTATATGTTGATATGTTATGTGGATGGGTTGAGGTGATACTGCTCCGTGCGGTAACCAACAAACCCGGGATCATTCCAGATATGGGCTAAGGGAGACTCGTATTGTGGGCTCGATGGCAATCCAGATGTGAGATGTGGGCCCGCAAGGCAATCTAGACTCACACTGTGGGCCCAGTGGAAATCTAGTAGGTGGAGCATTCCAGATACGAGCTGAGGGAGACTCGTACTGTGGGCTCGATGGCAATCCAGATGTGAGCTGTGGGCCCGGTAGGCAATCCAGACTCACACTGTGGGCCCAGGGGTAATCCAGTCTGTAAAGCTGTGGACCCATTACATGCTGTTCAGTTTGTTATGATATGTTATTAATGACATGGTTATGTGGATTGTATGTGTATCGGTATTTTGGGGGTAACTCACTAAGCTTTCGGGCTTACAGTTTTAGTTTATTGTTTCAGGTGCATCAGGGGATCGTGGCAGGGGAAAGGCGTGATCATACAACTCCTCACTTTTTATGACTATGTTTCTGGGATACTCTGATATTAAATTATTTTGAAAACATTTTGTAATGACTAATGGGTTTTGAATTGTTTAAAAAGTTTTAAATTGGCTTGAATTTTACGGGTGTTACATTGAGAAGAAGAAAAATTTTTGTGGCTACCTTACCGTATCTCCAGTTGTTTTTATCAGAGAAAGCACCTTTGGTTTGCAACCTTTTGTGAATATTTGAGAAGGAAAAAAAATTCAGATCAGTTTTGATGGCTTGTTGAACAAGCTGAAGAAGAGAAAAAAAAATGTCTTACATGAAGAAATCATTCTCAAATCCGTTTTTGTTCATATTTTGTGTTTGTTCGGCAAGTATAAGAAGCAAAGAAGTTTTTATCTTAGTTTCAATTTATACATTACCAGAAAATTGATTATAGTTTAGATTTTTCCGTTTTTTTTATACCATGGGATTTCCTCAGAAAATTGTGAAGAAAATAGGTTTTCAAAGTTCATAAACCTTTCTTTTTGTTCAAATTTAGAAGGAAAATCATCTTTTAGCTAAGGATTTTCGTATTTTTTCTTACCAACTTCAACAGCTGTTTGTAAGCATAACTGTCATACTTGTACATTTCACCAAATAGCATTTTTACCTTTAAAAGATTTACCCTATCCTCCCCAAAATTTACTGCTCAGTAAAAAAAAGGGATAGGAAGATGCTGAGATATGTTGTTTTGAACCAACAAGAGAAAAAAAAAGAAAGATAGAAAAAGAGTTCTAGAAGAAGAAATAATCGTATATACAGAACCAAAATTCAAAGTCTTTTACATCTTAATCATAAACAACAAAAGAAAAGAGGTTACAAGACTTGTACAGTCTGTTTCTTTTTAACCGACAAAAAAGGGGGAAAGTAGTGTGGTGTAAGACACACATGTATAAAACGTCTATTCACAAAAAGAATGCATATACAAGCTAGAAGACAAATGCATTTACAGATGTCTTGTACATCTTCAAAAAAAAACAGGGGAGAAAGTAGTGTATACAGTATACTACATGTGGTCCAACTCTCCATATACAGAAAAGACAAAGGAATTGGGACCCACCAATAACAAACACATGTACCCTGTTGACCCCAACCGATTGTGACCCCAACATCGGGCGTAGCCAGCACCTGTCCGTTGCCACCTTTAGCTGTCAGGCTCCCAACCGGTGACGAATCTAACCGGAGCTCACCAAAACCTGCAACAAGTGACCCAACAGCCACCATCGATCCCAACAGCGACTGCCATCAACCAGTGGATTGACAGAACTCGAAGCATCACCAGCGACCTTCAACCCCGACCAAAAAGTTCGTCGGTGACTGAAAACAAATACAAGGAAGACCACCGGTGAAATATGCTCCAACCAACCAACAACGATCTATGGGACCACCTGTTGGCCACAACAGTTCCGGATCACAACCATCGCCGGTCAATCTCCATCTCTGACTTCGATTAGTGCTCATTGACTTGCTGGACTCTGATAACGACCTTCATCCCCTGGCAGTGATCACCGACCCAACAACCCCTGATCGTCGGTCGCTCATTGGCACCTAGAGACAGCAGCTCCAGCTGTCTACCACCGCCTATTGCCTCCAGCTGCCACGATAAACCTCCTTCGACAACAGTACCATCTCTGCCAACTAAACTCGGATCCAAAGCGCCTCTAGCCCTTCGATCTCTCGATTCGTTGCCGCCAGTTACGCCCTCGCCACCTGACGACCACAGTAGCCTCAATGTTGGTCATTACTGCCTCCAGACCACCCGTCATCGCCGATTAATCTCTGAATTATCAACAATCGCGGATGTCATTTTCTTGAATCGCCGATGACAGTTGAAGCCAATCCATCTCCGACCACCGAAAGCCTTCAAATGACGACCACTAGACCTAGCACCGCCGGCGAACTCGTAGCCTGGTTTCCCTCTATATCCGGGCGAGTTCCGACGAAGCAGCCGCATCTCCAGTCACGTGCCTTATTCTGGGAGTCTCACAATGAGAGACGTAGGGATCCCTTTTTCCAAAACTGATGAAATAAATTAGGGCGGACCCATAAGTGTTGTACGGATCAAACAAAATCAGCATTGGGCTGATCAATTAATATGGACTATCAAGGCTATCATTTGGGCTTCCCATATATTGGTACATGGGTCGTTTAATTCACTTTTGGCATCTCGAGTTTTTCTTAAGCCAATTTTTAATTCCAATGGGTTGAAAGGAAAGAATGGGCTTATCCCTGCAACATAAATTCAGCTAACCAGACGTCCAATCCCTTGTGGTGCGATTCAACCCAACAAAATCAACTTACAAAGGCGCATTGTGGTCCACCCGATGCTACAACAAAAAAAAAAGTGAATTTGTGCTGGTTATTAGCGGGCTCCAACCATAATAGTGATTCTGGGCTTTAACAAATTTGAACTTCGTAAATTGGTATTTAATGGGCTACCTCCACAATAAAAAGATGACCCAATTTTGCAAGACAAAAGTCTACAATTTACCACAAGCTCCGATCAACAAAATATGCTTTTCGAATACGTATTTTCGTCCGGAATCGTTCGACATCTTCAAAAAAAAAAAGGGGGGGGGGGAGGGAGAAGAGTAGTGCATTATTGCTACTACTATTCATGAAGCGTTTAGAAACAATCGTGACGAGCAATATGAATCGATTTATTATTTCAAAAAAAAAATACTAATTATTTGATTGAGTTGCCTTTTCAGATAATCGCTCCAGCGCTACACACGCAGAGTGCGCCAACAACAAACTCGTGGAGCGAAGCTCGGTCTGTAAAGCATTTACAGGGGACTTGTGAAGTGTGAACCGCTAACCAGTCACTCAAAGTTCCCATTCAGCGGGCATAAAAATATAAATCCCCACCCGGTGCTGGCTACGAGTCTCGTCCCTCTAACCGGGGTGCGCGCGCGACGCTTAGAGCGTCTATTTCTATTAACAACTTTCAGTTGTGACTGGAACGCGGGAATCATGGACCAAGTGCGTTGTATCTATTTACAAACTTCAGAGCTCGACAACGGTCTTAGAGACTGTATGGAGAGGTTACGCTTCTTAGCTACCCCGGTCCGACCTTCCGTCGACATCAGTGTCACGTAACACTCTTTAGCAGCCTTTCACTCCTCTCAATGAAGGAGTATTAAGTCAGATCAAGCTGCATAGGCAATGTTTGGCTCATCGCACAACCCCACGACTCTCGTGGGCGAGGTTCGGTCGTTCTCTCTATTATTTAATGTATTGGTGCTCTATCTAGTCCGGTCCGATTGTCAGCAACCCAATCGCATCAGACTAGGGGGACATGACGACGCACAATTTATATGACTAAGTCCAGTTCGATGTCATTGGCCGCGTACCAATAACATCAGACTGGGGGGACTTGATGATATATGGTCCACTAGCACAGCCTAGACTGCTCTAGCGCGCCAACCTAGCCTGGCGCGCTCCTGCTAGCCCTGCCTAGCGTTCCCTTGCTAGCCTTGTTGGGGACTCCCTTGCCAGTCCTGCTGGGGACTCTCCTGCTGGCCCGGCCAGGCGCTCCCTCGTCTGGCGCTCCCCTGCCATCATTTCCTGGTACGCGCGCGCCAGCCTTGCCTGGGGCGCGCCCGCCAGCCCCGCCCGGCGCCTCCGGGCGGCCTTGCCCAGCTCCTTGCTAGTTGGGCCTGAATTGGGCTGGCCCAAGGACTGAACCAATTCCCCTTGACCTAATTGTCCACTATAAATAGAATAGTGTCTCCTCCATGAAGGAGGACCCCCTTTTCCCTAAGACCTTTCCCTTGGATTCTTCCCCATGGTTCAGCCACCACACCATACTCCGGCAGGGTGGCTCAGCCGCCACCCGCCGCCGTCAACCACCATACACCACCACCAGCACCAAGATGGTTCCCTCCAGCTATGGAGAACCATCTCAAATCTATTAGCTGATCTAACTTGATCGTCGGAGTACGCTCCCGGGGCACAGTCCCTGGGATGGCTCTAACGACTTTGCACTGTGATGTCCAGATCTCCGCCGCAACAGAAGACCAGAAGAGTCGCCGGAGGTCGATGTCGCATCACCCTTTAATGTTGCATCACCCTTCAATGTCAAATGAATGATAAATTAAATCAATTGAATTAAATCTTATTACGAAACTAGTTGTAAGATTCATTTATTACATGAGTTAATTTAAAAGAAAAAGTTAGATATAAAAGTCTAAAAATTTAACAACTTTAAATTTATAAAAAAAAACAATAAATTATTAAAATTTACTTTTTTTTTATATTTTAAATTTAAATAAATAAACAATCTTTATCACCTATCGATGTGGTACAAACCTTATCAGTCATTTTCACCCATACAAAAGTGTCATAAAAAACCCCCTTATAAAATTAAAAAACCTCTCATAAAAACCTTTATATGAAAATGCGTCTTCTCTTTTTCGTCTTGTGTCTCTTGCTGGTGGCCATCTCCGCCTCAGCGCCACCACTCCAGCCGGGATCCTACGCCAAATCCTGCCCAAACGCAGAGCTCATCGTCAGAGATGTCATGAAGAAGGCGATGATCAGAAAACCCAGAAGTGGAGCTTCTGTCATGCGGCTTCAATTCCATGATTGTTTCGTTAACGTAAGCATCTTTGAGCTTTATTATGTTGTTGTAATCAAGAATTTGAGATAATTTTAAGGAAAAGCGAAGATAAATTGGGGGTTGTTGAAATTATTATGAACAAGGTTGTGACGGGTCGCTGTTGTTGGATGATACTCCGACCATGCTTGGGGAGAAACTCTCTTTGTCCAACATAAATTCATTGAGATCGTACGAGGTTGTCGATGAAATTAAGGAAGCTCTTGAATCAGCATGCCCTCATAGTGTTTCTTATGCAGACATCATTATCTTTGCCTCTAGAGATGCTGTTGCTTTGGTAAAGTTTTATTTTATACTTAATCAAATGCTTTGGATTATACGAAAATCATAAAATAATATATGTTAAAACAAAAGCAATCTTCTAATTTGTTAGGAAAATGAATATTTGTATAATTATCTTTATTAATAAATTATTTTATGGATTTATCTCGTGTCAACTGCATGAATGTTTTGTTTCTTATTTATTTCTTATAATATTTTCAAGAAATATGAATAATCTTTCCACAAGATATTAATAATTTTTTTTATCAGAAAACAAATATTTTCCCAAATTAAATAATTTTACATAAGTAATTTTTCTGAATAAATCTTTATTTTATGATAGTTTCTCAAAAAAAAATCCTTTCATATGTTTTTAATATCTTTATTTTTGTCATTTAAATTTGTTACCTTAACCCAAATTTGAATATTACCAACAGAGTGGAGGTCCGCATTGGGAAGTGAAATTGGGAAGAAAAGACAGTTTAACGGCAAGCCAAAAAGATTCTGATGATATAACGCCGAGTCCGAGAGCCAACGCAAGTTCCCTCATCGATCTTTTCGCCAAATTCGATCTCTCAGTGAAAGATCTCGTATCCCTTTCCGGTTCTCACTCCATTGGAAACGGCCGTTGCTTCTCTGTCGTCTTCCGGCTATACAACCATTCAGGCACCGGCTGCCCAGATCCCACCATCGAGCCTAAGTTCCGGCAAAAGTTAGACAAGCTTTGCCCTCTTGGAGGAGATGGGAATGTCACCGGCGATTTGGACTTTACGCCTCATGTTTTTGATAATCAGTACTTTAAAGATTTGGTGAACGGAAGAGGGTTTCTTAATTCCGATGAAACGTTGTTTACTTTTCCGGAAACGAGAGGGTATGTGAGAAGGTATAGTGAGGATGAATCAGAGTTTTTTAGGGATTTTGTCGATGGGATGATAATGATGGGGGACTTGCAGTCGGGGCGGCCGGGGGAAATTCGGAGGAATTGTAGGGTGGTTAATGACCCGCCGCCGGTGAAGGTGGTGGTCAGGGGATTCCAGGATAGGAAAATCTTGAGCCGGTGATTTGTGATGTCGTCTTAAATACGAGTATAATTTATATCTGCTAAAAGTGCTACATATGTTCTCAGATTAGTCAATGCGTTTCATAATATGACGCTATAAATTCAAGTTATTAAAGAAACGTTTTCAGATATAAATTATAAGTTCATTATATAAAAGAAAATGTTGGCATATCAAATCAAAAGGTAATGAAAAAACATGTGACTAATCGAACGTAGCTAACGCCAAAATTTACATCCGGCCGATTAAGAGGACTATGGCCTATGTGTGGTTTCTTACCCACACCATCTTTGGAATTGGATTATTCTATTCCATCCATCTGATCATTCATCTTCGTTCTCATCCTTCATCTTCGTTTTCGATGAGCGATGGTTTTTTCATTGATTCTTTTTTTCAAATTTAGTGTTCATCGAGTTCAAGGTTTGTTCATTGATTTTTTTTTCAAGGTTTTCGTTGAGTTTTAGGCTAGGGTTCTTGATTTTTTTAGTTGCGGAAGTAGTAATTAGCTTGATTTTGCTAATTTCATTTCAAGATTTATATGTTTAGTTCGTCAACTTGAAAACAATGAAAATCAATTGTTTGGTTCGCTCGCTGCATGTTTTTATTGGATCAAGTTACATTAATTACCAATCTTGTTTCCAAATTTTCTGAACACTTGATTGTTTACATTATAATGATATTTTTGTTATTCGTCATATTAATCATCCATATTACCAAACACAATATGTTTCATTTATACCAAAAGGCTGTTGGCCTAGCGGTAGAAGGTGTTTGAAAAAAATGTCCATTTCCTAAAGGGTTGAGGGTTCAAGTACCATTATGCACTAATAAATAGCTTAAAAATAGGATTTTGTGTGTATATGTGTTAGCCGTTTAAAAAAAATATGTTTCATTTATAATCAAATCCATTCAGAGCTTCTAAATTATTCAGACATTTAAATCATTCAACACTAAATCATTTTGTAAAAAAGTAAAGCAACCGGATTAAAAAAACCTTCAACAAGGGTATGTAAAAAAGTAAAGCAACCACGATATCTTCGAAGTAAGAAAAAAAAACATACTAAAACTTAAGGGTGAGCAAAATTACTGAAAGTATTGAACCATATGACCTTCATCCGTTCGGTCTTCGATTCTTACAAAGCTCACCTTTTAGTTATCGCTCCTATCGAGTATGGGTAAGTATAGCATCTTCTTTTATTTCTTGGCTAAATGTTAGACTCAAAAATCAACTAATTTGCTGTAACGCTTGGAAATGGAGATGTTCCTTGTTGCCCTTCAGAATTGAAAGAATTGCGTTTTGGCCCATGTAAGTAGTACGTGGGGTGTACAACAGGTTACGCTTGGCGTACTAGCTGAAAAGCTAGTAAGCGGGGCGTACCTCTGATGTACGCTTAGCATACTAGTAGATGTTGGTCGCGGGTCCGTAGCCTTGTACGTTGGGCATACGAAGAGTTTGTTGGGCGTACGAGGGGGAGGTAAGAAACCCCAATTTTTCAAGTTGTACCCTATATAAGCCATATGTTAGCCGCTTTTGATCATTTCCTAGCCAACCTCCATATCCTAAAAACCCTAATTCGTTCCATAGCCCATTTTTGGTGATCTTGAGCTCTTGTGAACTTTTGTGGAGGGTTTTGTTTATCTAGAATAATAATAATAATAATAATAATAATAAAATAATAATAATAATAATAATAATAATAATAATAATAATAATAATAATAATAATAAAGCTTGAAGACTTGTTCTTTGGAGGAGGGCTTTGAGATCCAGATTTATCATCCTCTTTTGGTGGCTTGTGAGGTATAAAGTTCAAACATTTCCATTTCATTTCTTATATCTTCTTCTTGGCATGTTTTTGGTCATTTTGGTCCTTTTGGTTGGTGATTGGGAGTTAAGGCTGTTTTTGGAGCTTATCCTTATAGATCTTATCATATTGAGAGTTCCTTGGGCATAAAGGTGCAAACTTTATGGTGGTTTTGTTCTCATGTAAGTATTAAGTCATTCCTTAAGCTCTTTTGAGCTCTAGAGCCCCATTAAGTCATTCCTTAGTCAAGTCTGAGTTTGGAACAAAGTCTTAATGGATTAAGAACTGAATTGGAAGTTGGCCATGATTGGTGAGTTCGATGGGCGTACAAGTTTGTACTCTGCGCATACAAGCCTTTCATGCAGTACGTTGAGCATACAAGCTGAGTACGCCTCGCGTACTCAGCAGGCTTGAGTTTCATTGTTTTGGGTTTCCACTTTGGGCTTTGATGGGCTTGGTTGTCTTGGGCCTTGTTGGGCTATCTGGATTTTATAGTTGCGCTTTTGAGACTTTATTGGACTCTCTTGGGTGAAGGCCCATGAAAGGGATTGGGCCCAATTTGGAAAATTGGGCCATATTTGGGCATTGAGTGCTTATTTTGGATTTTGGGCTTTTGTACAATTGGTTTGGGCCTTGGCCTTGGGCCAAGTTAGAGGAAGGGTAAAAAGGTCTTTTACCCTAATTTGGAATCTTAGAGTAAGTCAGGATCTAGTTATTAATGGATTGTCATTTTGATATTTGATAGCGCATGGAGTTTAGCGGATCTGCAGTCAGATTTTGTCTGTGGGTTTTAGTTGTCTGAGGTGAGTCTCCTCACTGTACTATGGGTTGAAGGCATCAATGTCGGCCCATTAGCTTATGTATTACAGGAAGACCAGGGGTGGCCCTTGGCATTTGTAAGAAAGACCCAGAGGTGGCTTGAGGCAAATCAGTATGCAAGACCAGGGTTTGGACCCTGGTAGTTAAGTAGATAGATAGTTGTAGATTGTATGCTAGTTGTCTCTGTAATCCTTGCATGGAAGACCGGTAGGTGGCTCCTGGCACTTGTTTGTAAGACTCAGGGTTTTGGCCCCGTCCTGGCAAGAAAAGACCATGATACGGCTCGTGGCATAATGGCAAGACTTGAAGGGTTTTGAGCATTCTAACACTTCCTAAGTGTACATGCAACCCTAATAAACCTTGGATCTATGTTTGTCTAAAATTCATGCAAGATGATTTCCAAGGTTCATAATCCTATCTAGCATACATGGGGAACATTTAAACTTAAATGTAAGATAGAATAACATACCTTGTTGTTGATTTTGATTCCTTGAAACCTTGTGAGCCTAGCACCCCAAGTGTGATGCCTCAAATGCTTCACACAACACCAAATGCTATGGAGTAAACTTGGAGAGAATGTATAACACACTAAAATCGGCTCTAGCCCTCTTGTTCTACTTAGTGTCGCCGATTTTGGGAGATGTCACATGGTTTATATAGTGTGTTGCATTAGGTAAACCCTAATGTAACATGACTCTTCATTTCCATGATCCATGGATTAACTCCATGGAGCATCCTATGGGTGGAACCCAACTTGATAATCCATGGAGCCTCTTAGCTCACTATATAAGTTATGGATGATTTACATAATCAACCCATATATTTAATTAGTTATCTTTTGATCACTTAATTAATTCTAAATTAATTCTTGATCAAACTAATTAAATAATATTATTAATATATTAAAACTTATAATATATTAATAAACCATAAGTGTTATTTCTCTCATTTAGTTTATCCAATGCATGGTGTCATGCAACCCAAATGGACCATGCCGAGTCGGGTCAAGTATATACCAGAAATAGTTATGGACTTAGACACCTTATCGAACAGTCTCCCACTTGGATAAGTCTAATAACTATAACTGCAAGTATGACTTCAGGAACCGATCGGCAATCGTAGCTCTTTCAAGGTCTCTCGGAACTGAGAAGATGATGATACGCCATTTAAGATAAGTGATCATATAATCCTCTGTTCTAGATATCAGCTAGACAAATACATGGAACAATGACTTACTTGTTGTCCAGCAGTTTGTTTCCCGATTTCCGATTTGTTTGACAAAGAACTTAATTGAACACATCAACTTAGTTCTGACCGGGCCCGGTACAAAGGTCAAAACAAAATCATCGAGGGGCCCAGATATCAACTTCTAATCCAAGAAGGAACAGATAAACTCCGACTCATATGTTTACTCTACTACTTGTTGAATTATACACAAAAGCACGTTTTATAACATCGAGTTACCAATGCGTTTTCGTACAATCAATGCATAATCAACTCATAGGCAACAAATCATATCTCTAGGTTTGAAGACTTATATGATGTTACCGTCTCACGATCACTCGAGATAAATTCCATGAAGTGATACCAGTGAACGTGGGTTGATTCCAATACTCAGAACTTATGAGTACTCATGAAGTGTTGTCCTAAAACTTGACACCTACAACCAACTTCATGACAGTCTTAATTCATATCTAGTTCCAACATATGACCGACTGTGGAAAATTTGAATAATATGTAAAACAAAACATAATATTCTGGAAGTCAAAACATGCAAAAGAAAATTATAGTAAACGATTGACAGAAGATAGCAACACTTTACTCATAAATAAACACAACTTTTATTTATCATCAAATGTCAATTACACTTTACAAATTTCCAAAATTATCTAACTACTAAAACTAATATCATCCTTTAGCCCTATGCTCCGAGCATGCTGAAGATGCTTAACCCGACTCAGTCCCTTCGTGAGGGGATCTGCTGGGTTCTCATCTGATGATACCCTCTTTGCCACGAGGATTCCTTCTTCTATGCGATGTCTGATAAAGTGATATTTTATGTCGATGTGTGTGGATCTCTCGTGATCCCTTGGTTCCTTGGCTAAGGCAACAGCACTTTCACTATCACAGAAAATTTCCATAGGCTCCTTTATAGCTGGTACAACTCCAAGGTCTCCAATGAAGTTCCTCAGCCATATTGCCTCCTTTGCTGCCTCGCTCGCTGCTATACACTCTGATTCACAAGTGGAATCAGCTACTGTCTCCTGCTTGGAACTCTTCAAAGTGATTGCTCCTCCGTTTAGGGTAAAGACCCAGCCCGACTGAGAGCGGAAATTATCCCTATCAGTCTGGAAGCCAGCATCACTATACCCTACAACTCTCAAGTCATCACTCCCACCGAGGGTAAGGACCCAGTCCTTAGTCCTCCGTAGGTACTTGAGGATATTCTTTACCGCAGTCCAGTGTGCCTTGCC